GAAATTTTTATTTGGAATTTCATACAGGAGCACGGCATTACATCATTCCTACCCCTCCCTCCAACTGTCCTGTCTCCTTTCAAGTTCATGATCTCATTTGAATGATGATTGTTATGTATATATGCATATCCATATGCATATGCTCACATACATGCATATACATACACATTCACACACACACACAAACCCTATATTTTTCAGTGGAAGGAAAAGTAGTTCTTTCTCTCGTCTCTCTGCAATTCTTTCCTTCGGCCTGAGTCATGATGGTCAAACCACATTTACGGAATAGCATGTGACTCTCTATAGAGGTCGTGAGACTTGGGCATACACAGATATGTACAGACTGAGAAACTAGGGTTTCAGGGACTGCCAAAGGGGTTTTGTGTGAAGTGATTAAGGTTACATCATCTTGTCCCAACTCCATTTGGTGGTTACTTAGACAGTTCTCAGCCCTCTACCCCTCCCCCACCAACAGTCACATCTGCCTTGGAAAAAATGTTGGAATTTCCATGCCCCTGACCATGGTCCAGAGGTATTAACTAAAATAATTAATATTTATAAAAACTTAAACTAAAGTAGCTGAAGAAGGTATAAGTCAAAATTAGTGTCATGTTGTGTCTGAAAGAGCTATGTTCAGCCTAAACAAATGTGGCAAGGTTACTATGGTCTTCATCTAATGTTGATGGAACTGTGGCTTTTGCTTTTAAAAATGCTACACCCCTATGTTGGCACCAAGAGACTTTGAGGCATGAGCTTACTCTTGGTCACTGGCCAAAATTAAAGGACTCGTATATTCTTAATTGGCTTAATAATATACTCATAATTGACTTAATCAACGTGGTTGTCTTTTTCCTTCTTATGTGGATTTGTTACTGTAGACACAGGAATAGAAGGGGAGGAATTAAAGCTTTGAAGTAGGGTTTTTCAACTTCAAAGAACGAGAGACTAGCTGTAGATTTCCCTCATCTGATTGTATAAGTTCCCCTTTCTGCCATTAACTAGACCAGCTCTGCCCTGAATCGCCCAAACCAGAGCTGTGTTCACTATGCAGAAGATATCTGTACTTGTTTTGAGCTTTAAGAAGACACAGAAAGCAGCAGGAATTTAGGATCAAGTTTTCCTGGTTCCTTCTGATGTTGTCTACAACACAGGCTTAGAGTCTGTTCATAGCAAAAACACCCTGATATGATCCGTCCATTTGGTAAAGAGACAGTAGTTACAAACTTCATTGTATCTAGAACATGGGCTCAAGGGTTGAATGATTTGCTTATAGTGAATACTGAGTCCACAGGAAATTAAACCCAGGCTCACATATGTAGTTTTTTTTTTAATTTTTACTCTTTGCTCTTTGGAGGCTCACCACCCAGCTCCCAAATAAATACATAAACAATTATTTTTACTTATGAATTCCCAGCCTTAACTTAGCTTGTTTCTAGTCAGTTTTCCCTAAATTAACCCATCTACCTTTCGCCTCTGGGCTTTTACCTTTTCCTATTCTGTATACCTGTCTTTCCTTCCTACTCTGTGACTGGCTGTGTGACTGGCTGGCCCCTTGTGTCCCCCTCTCCTTATCCTTTTTCTCCCTCTTCCTCTCTTCTCCTTTTCTCTATTTATTGTCTCCACCTGGCAGCTCTGCCTATCCCTCTCCTGTCTAGCTATTGGCCATTCAGCTCTATATTAGATCAATCAGGTGTTTTGGGTGGGCAAAGTAACACAACTTCACGGAGTTAAACAAATGCAACATAAAAGAATGCAACCCATCTTTGCATCACTAAGCAAATATTCCCCAGCATACACAAATGCAATACATCTTTAAATAATATTCCACAGCACACATGGATCTGGGCTGTGTTCTTCCACTGACCTGTGTCATGATGGCACATGAAGTGCGTTAAGCAATGCACCAGCGCCAGCAGTGCTGGCAGCAATTCATTAATTATGGGATCTATCTACTCCCAGGCAAGAGAAATTGATTCGGTAATCACCACCATAATGATGTCTTTTGTGCTAACAGGCATATTACATTTCTTTCATTCACCTGGAAGAAAAAATGAAGAGTCCTCTTTAAAAAAAAATCCATGTGATCAAACTGGACACTCTGAATGTGGCTGGCAATGAAGGCTGACTGAGAAACCAAGGACAATGGCACTGGGTTTTGATTCTACTGCATGAACTGACTTTGTGGGAGCCTGGTTTGTTTGGATGCTCACCTTTATAGACCTGGAAGGAGGGGGCAGGGAACCCTGACTGCTTTTAGGACTAGAGAGGGAGGGGAAGTGGGGAGGGGGAGGGAAAAGGGAGGTGGGGAGGAAGTGGAAATTTTTAATAAACAAACAAATAAATAAATAAAAACAGAAAAAAAATCCAAAGTTCAGGAAAAGTAGACTAGAGATAATAAATTGTCTTTATCAATTTTGAAACAACTTTGAGATAAAGAGATAATGGTCATTTAATAACAATTATTAAAATAATATGTGAAGGCTTCTTAGAACAATGCTGAGCCCACAGAAAGTACAACACTTGTTTTCTCTTTCCAATGCTTTATACGGAATAAGTGCTCACGAGAGCTGGTATTTCCTTTGACAGAATACATAGATAAAACAGCATGGCATTACAATATCTGAGGGACAGGGTCCCGGGTCTGCAGTGGACAGTGCTATTGGGCAATCCTGTTGAATCCAGATTTGCCTTATAAACCTCATTCCATCCCTGCAGGTAGCTGCCACCAATCTTGTCACAGCCAACATAAAACCTTTGCCATTGCAGCTTCTGAACTTTCATTCGGAGCCCTCAAGAACCAAGGGTGCAATGGGGCTAACCAAGCCCAGTTAGTCCAAGCATTGTGAAGGCTCTGCAGTTCAGGCTGGAGAGAAACTAGGGTCACGCCTACCCAGCTACCACCACACCCAGACACTTTCATATTTGACCTCTTAACACTCCTTGGAATTCTAGAGTTCTAGGCAGTCACACTGAAGAATGCCTCTTTACTGTAAAGAAGTCTGGGTTTCACTCAAGTGTCTCAAATGAGTCCTTTTTTGAGTCAGTGTTGAAAGATACTGGTTTGGCTTAGTAAACCAGGGGTCCTGACAGACAAGGGAGAGAGATGCTAATCACAGAAAGAAGTAATTATTTGTAAGCTCAAGTATGTCAAATGTGTCTTGGACAGCTAATTTTTTGAACTTCCCCGTGAAATGAAACCCCATTTTTCTTTGGCATGCTAAGCCCAGCTAGTGCTGTTCATGTGCATGGATGTGAGGCCATCCGCCGGAGCATAGGAAACATACTAGCTGCCCTTAATAAACAACGAGTCTCCCTCTGTGATGCCAATAACTCCTCACTGTGGGGTGAGGCCTGGAGACCATGTACCCATCGATGCAGGGATTTGGATTGGCTTGCTCTTGTAGAAGATAGGTCACATTTGATTTTCTAACTTTCTCATGGAGGTGAGTAATATCCCATCTTACTCTCATCCATGCTTGTCACTACGACAAAAATTTAAATTTTATTTTAAAAAGAGTTTAGGGGGCCTGGGAAGATGGCTCAGTTCATGGAGAACTTGCAGTACAAGTTTGAAGACCAACGCTCAGTTTCCCAGCACCCATGTAACAGCTGGGCACAGTGGGGTGTCTATGACCTTGAGCCCTGGAGTAGTGGAAGCAGAGAGAGTGGATCCTTGGAGATTTTCAGCAAGAAACCCTGTCTCATAAACAAGGTGGAGAACAACTGGGAAAGACACCTAAGATCAACCTCCAGCATAGGAGTATGTGCAAACAGCCCCTACCCTCACACACACACACACACACACACACACACACACACGCACGCACAATCACATGTAACCAGTTTACATGTATTACAAGTCAGAGATAAGTGTTTCACTATGAAAACCATCATTGCTTCAGATTTTCAAAATCCCTCAGCCTAGAATTAAGGATCTTTCAGGAAGTGACCGCCTGCAATCAGCAAGTGATCAGCTGCAAATCCATCTTGCAATTGTCTGGCTCTCCCATCTGGATGTGTCTACCTGTTTTTCTTGTCAAATGCACAGCTAAGCTGGACTGCAGTGTTTAGGAGCAGCCTTAAGGAGGTTAATTGGTGTGCTGATGATTTAGGATGACCCAGGAAGCATAGATGATCCAGTTCCTTTTAGCCACGTTCCAGAACGCTAAGCTTCCTTAAGTCCTCCTTGCTATTATGAAAGCTATGCCAGCATCAGTTGCAAGAGAACTTTAAACCATCCTTATCGCATTAAAATTAAAAATTCATTAAAATTGTAGTGTGTGTGTGTGTGTGTGTGTGTGTGTGTGTGTGTGTGTTTGGATACGCATGTCACAGTCTGCATGTGGTTAGAGGACAGCCCGCAGGAGTCAGTTTGCTCCCTTCACCACGTGGGTCCTGAGGACCAAACGCAGGTCATCAGGCTTGGCAGCCAGCGCCTATACCCACTGAGCAATCTTGCTGGCTCTCTTTTTAATTCTATTAAAAAAACACATTGTGAAACAATATAAGGATGAGGAGTCTTATGTTCGGGGTGCGATAGTCCTCTGACGTCTCTATGAAATGTTCCGCATGTGGGATTTCTATAATGGATTCCTTCTGATCTGGTCCTAGAATTCGTGCAGATGTTCCCTTCCCAGTTGAGCAGTACAGATGTCTATGGCCCCACGTCCCAAATAGTATGGGGAGGGATGGAGGGAGAGATTCCTTCTACCCGAGGTTTTATTTTGCTTCTAAAAGCACATTCGCAAGTGGCTGGCTGGGATCCCAGCTTGCCAGTGTCATGTGTTGTGGGTATTAGTTAAAAGAGGGCATCTGGGGCACAGCACCGAAGTTATATGAAGAACTCACCAACAGAGACAGTAGGCCTGTGAATGAGACTGTTTTTGTTGAGCTGGTATTTGTACAAGGCGACACCCTCTTTCACACCGCCTACCTCCTCCCTGCGTGACTCAGTGCTGAGAGAGAAGCCTGTAAGCTGTTCATTAACAGAGTCAAGAGGAGGTGGGAACGGCTCCTAGGAAGCTCCAGGTGCCCATTTGTTTCAGCCAGATCCTCTTGGGGAATCACTGCGGGCCAGTGAGCCAAGAGTCCTCGGTTTCTGCGCAAGAAAGGTAAGCTATGTTCTACTTGCAAAGATAAATACAGCTGCTTTACTTTTCGCGCGGAACTTTCTCTGCTTTCCCTCCAAACGATTCAGATCAGGGCTGTCTGCATTATCTTTGACTTGTTTCCAGTTAAAATTTGATGGCCTCTGAAGAGCATTCTGTGTGCCAGTAGCTCCGCACTTGCAGGTCCTGTGGCTTTTAACTTGGCCGTGGTACATACACATCACGGCATCCCAGAAACGGAGAGCCTGTGAGTTTCCCGTGGGAGCTGGCAGCTTGGGAATTCGGCTTCACATAAAGATAATGAAGCTCCCACTCAGCACTCACTGGTCTGTCTTCTCCAGTGACTATAAAATTGTTTTATAAAAGGATCTTCCCATTTTCATAGCTGATGTTTCTAGTGAAATTTTAAACTTTATTGATGTAAAAATAGCGTCATCTTTTTTTTTTTTTTCTCAACTGTGACAAACACTGCAAACCCATTCAATCTTATTTTCTTCAAATAAAAAAATGGGACGGACCCAGGAGCGGAGTCAGGATGGGATAGCGTGGAGATACGTGGTTCTTCACAGGTGTCTGTGAGGACTTCGCTGTTACAGTCTGAAGTTCTGAATTAGCCTGAGAATAAAGTATGCATAGGCAATTTTCAACCTCTCTGCCCATCTTACTCCTGGAAAAGCAGCTGGCTTGTCTGACTCATTTTTTTTCCTTTTATCACTTCTGTTTATGATACAGAGTAGTGGGAATGAACTCCAGCGTGTAGTAGCAGCCCTTTCTCCTGCAAACCCGGCTCTGTTTAAGAGCTAGAGCTTTCATTGCTTTCTTAAGTCTCGGAAGCTGGGACGAGCCAGTGCTCAGTTCCCAGAGGTTTACTGACGAGTTTGATGGCTTGGTTTGTCTACATGTTTAGGACAGAAAGCCCCAGGATAGCATATGCGGAGTGCAGTTTTGTTTTTCATGAAGTTGAAAACTGTCTCCCTCTTCTGTACAGGATGACACAGAGAAGCCTTCCTGATATTGCCTATGTTCTAGTACCTAAAATTTTGGGAAAGCTAACCATTTAAAAGTTTACCAAGACATTTGGATTCTAAATGTCAAGATATGCAGATAATGCATGGGAACAGGTCATAAGTTTACAGAAATTTAGGTATATGTAAATCTTAGCATCTTATTGGTATAAATTTTCAACTGGAAGGAAACTATGAATCTAGTCCAGTTTTTGCATTTTCTTTTAAGAACTTCCTTATTACCATTATTATTGTTAGTGTGTGTGCGTGTTTCTGTACGTTTGTGATACGTGTGTGAGTATGGGCGTGTGCATGCCACAGCACGTATGTGGAGATCAGAGGACAACTTTCGGGAGCCATTGCTCTCTCTCCACCTGATTATGGCAATATCTCTCTTCTGTTTCTGCTGTGCGGTGTATGACAGTCTAGCTGGCCCCCGAGCTTGAGGGCAGTCCCCCTGCCTCTGCCACTCAGTTCACTGCAGGGGAGCTTAGACTGCAGACATATGCTACCACACTGAGTGCTTTTAACTTGGTTTTCAGGGATCAAATCAGGTCTTTAGGCACTGAGCCACCTTTGAATTTTCAAGATGAAGAAAACAAAGACTAACTATTAGGCAACATCCCAGGCCTGGAGTAGCAGAACCAGAACGTGAAGTCAGATCTCTGTTAATCGTCTTATTAGATCGTCTCAATGACTTCTCAGATTTCTTTCACATAAAAAGTAGTAACGAAACGAACTATACACTATAGAAGGACCACAAGTGATCTGTAAATAAGAGTGTCCTTGCCCAGCAATATATGCCAAAGCTCTTATCATGTATGTGGTGTGATTTTGACACAGAAATACATTTTTATTTTGTGGCATTTGAACTTGGCCTGTTTATTTTCTTATATTTATAGGGTTAAACATTAAGTGCCAACAGCCCCTTGGCATGAAGCTGTCTGGTAGATACGTGCAGGCTATGATTTGACCCCCTCAGTCAGCATCATCTACACTCAAGCTGCCATTCCTTAGGCTCTGTTTCTTGACTGTCAGACTTCTGATTGCTCTTCTTGAGAGACTCCCATTCCTGGGAACTTCATAAATGCTTTGCATGAATGAGTACATACGGCGGAATGAACTCCGTAGAGTCTCCCAGGCAGTCAGCTCAAGATAATGTGATTTCAGATAGCATCTGGTGTAGTGGATCCTTCAACCCCAAACATTCTTTAAAAGCAAGGAGGTGAGATTCTTCGCCCAGGAGTTTTAGGGAGAAATTGGCGTTGTTTCCTCCCAGCTTCCCTTCTGGCAGTAGCCCGCTTCTCAGCCACTTGCGGATATTTTTCTGTTTTCTTCTCTCAAGAACTTTGGAATGAATAAAGGTGGCAGATATTAGTTCCTATACACCCATCTGCAGCTGCCCGGTGTGCCCCGTTTGCTGTGGTGCAAATCTGTTATGGTTTCCAGATTTGGGCGTGGCTCTTCCTCAGGTGCGTGCTTTGCAGATGACAGCTTCATTGATGATGCTTGTGTTTTATGTCAGTTGTCAGATTCTTTAAAGAGATGGATTGCCTTTTCATTGTGATCATTACTCAGGAGAGTGAATGCTGTAGCTGTGTGTTAAAGGCCAGTAGGTTTGTATCCAGACAAGAAAACCAATAGTCCTGACTAGTCTTTGTCACTGCACACTCAAGAACGCTAAGAATCAAAATAATTTATCCTTGTTCTCTTAACCCAGTGTTCTTGGCTCTAAAATATTAGCAAATCTCTTCTGTGTGGATGTTACCCTAGAAGACAGTGAACTAGTTACCAAGTTCAATGCAGTGCACACATCCCAGGAGACTGCAGCAGGCTCCTCGACGGGACATAAGAATTACATGATAAGCTGGTATGAATACATAAAAAAACTAACTTCACTGAAGAGGTCTATGGAAAACTACCCGCATAAGCCTGTTTCCTTTCTGCTCATCATTAGGGATGCTGTGTGCAAAAGCTTAGAAGACATCTGTGTGCAAAATGTTCAAAGGGGCTGTTCCCTAGTTGGCTTGGCCTTGAATCAACTGGAACTAGAAATGGTCCATGATAGGACTCAGATGAGAGGTAATTTTTGTATGATTGAACACTGTTAATGAGTATTAAACCAGGGTCTCTGTCGGATGAAATGGGCAATTGTCCCAGTAATCAAGATATCACTTAGATGAAACGTGAAGCTACCCAGCAACAAGGATCAGGAAAGTTTCATGTATTGGTTCAAGAACCATCAGAAAGTAAATTTTATGTGAGAGGGTTATAGAGATACAGAACATTGGAGGCATTCAGAGATCTAGATAGCAAAAGATTTTATTTGTGCAAAAATTTGAGTTCCTTTCATCACCAATAGGCAGATTCCCATTGTAAGCTTGGGCTCTCAGCCCGAGAGAAAACAAATGACCCATTCCTAACCCTCCTAGCAGGCAAGGTTGAGACCAGCTGAGAAGTTCACTGGGTGAGACTCAACAGGGATGTTTATTGTCGCAAACCCATTTTCAAATTAACCTATATCAAAATAGAAATAAATTGCTAAGACACCTAGAAATATCTATTTGCCTTTCCCTTCCCTAAGATTTTGTAGTTTGGGGGGTGATAATAGCTCTTTAAGGATAGTTCTTCTCTTTACAAGTCTGTAATTATTGGCTCCCTCTTATTCTTCTTTTAAAAATAGTTTTACAGACATCATTCTCTTCCTGTTTGTGGGATACTGCCTGTCACAGTAATTTCCAAAGAACAAAATACCCAGGGCTTCTTTCTAAACCAAGGAGCATACCACTCAGGCCAATGCCTTTACACCGGTTTCTAAAACACATCCGCCGCACTTTTTTCTACTTCCCATTCTACAGATATTTGTCCTAGACAAGTGTTCGCTTTCCAAAATGTCAGCCATTCCCATAAATGCATGAGGAGTTCCCAAAATTGGAAAAGGATTCTGGAGTCGCTAACCTATCCAATTGCTCCTCTCTGCTGATCTCCTAATACTTTGGTGCCATTGGGCATGAACATCTGCTTTGCCTCATGCAGCTGTTGTCTCTTCACAAGAGTCCGCTGCAAAGAGGCTGTTATTCTATTCGCCGTACCCAGTAACTGGCCACTCACTGCCCCCTTTAGTTTGCCATTTCTAAAACAGGAGCTTGGGTATTAGGTTGGTCTGAGTTTGAACCCCCACGGTGTAATTCACCAGCTGTGTAACCCCAGGCGAACCATTCATCCTGAGATAATGGTCTCTTAAAGCCTGTCCTAGCTTTCTGTAAAATGACTCTGATGTTACTTTAATCACAGCAATCACATTAACTGCTCTTTGTTGGCCGTGATAGGACACCATAGCCAAGGTAACTTTAAAAAGATAGAGTTTATATTGGTTTAGAGTTCTGGGCGATAAGAGTTCCTGATGGCATAGTGGAGGCATGGCGCTGGGGTAGGAAGCAGAGAACTCACACCTTCGAAAATAGCCATGAAGGAAAGAGAGCAAAGTGGAAGTGGGTCAGACTTTTTCAACTCAACGTCCACCCCAGGGGTGTACCTCCTCCTGAAGACGGCACCAACCCAAGCATTTCTAAATAGCCCCATATCTAGGGACCAAGTCCTCAAGTACACGAGCTTGTGGGGAGCTTTTTCACTCAGACGATCACATTCTACTCCCCAGTTCTCAGTGTCATGGCATTTCATGTAGTTATGGAATCAGGATAATCACTGTGAACTACCGACCTAAAAATGTGTGAGTCTTAAATGAGATGATGTGCCCACCACAGAAACTTGTTCCCCGAGAACACAGGGTTATTTGCCTTGCCTTTTCCATTTCCTTCCTTTATCCTCTGTTGCGTTAATCTACTTTCAGCTTCACGTTTTTTCCTCTTCCGCTTCACCTTTCATTTGTTCCCTCTCTGTAACCCTTCATCCATCCAGTCTAAGTTTTTATTTTCACAATGCTAAGAGAAAGCTAGCAGAAAGAGAAAAAGATATTATTCCCCCAGTCAAGAGGCGTTG